GGGACCCACCTCAGGCGGGTAGATCACCTGAGGTTGGGAGTTTGAGACCAGCCTGGCCAATGTGCCGAAACCCTGTCTCTACTAAAAATACCAAATAAATTAGCTGGGCATGGTGGCATGTGCCTGTAATCCCAGCTACTCGGGAGGCTGAGGCAGGAGAATCACATGAACCCGGGAAGCAGAGGTTGCAGTGCACCGAGATCACATCACTGCACTACAGCCTGGCTGACAGAGCAAGACTCTGTCTCAAAATTAATAAATAAATAAATAATAAACTCTCCAAACGCATGTTTTAAAAAAAATCAAATATGTATTTTGAAGTCAGCTACCAAGGAAGCCACTACCACTTGGGAACCAGCCATAAGTTAAGAAGGCCATGTACATCCTAGATGTGTGTGTTCTTTGTTCCTGTGGGGCATGTGCCTAAAAAAAATGCTTCTCCTCTAAAGTCCTTTTAAAACTTTATTTTAAAATTTTTATTATTTTATTAACATATTAATTTTATTATTTATTTTTATATCTTATTAATTTACTTTTTGAGACAGAGTCTCGATCGGTCACTCAGGCTGGAGTGCAGCCCTCCTGGGCTCAAGCGATTCTCCCACCTCAGCCTCCTGGGTAGCTGGGACTATAAGCACATGGCATCACACCTGGCTAAATTTTGTATTTTTAGTAGAGACAAGGCTTCACCATGTTGCCCAGGTTGGTCTCAAATTCCTGGGCTCAAATGATCCACCCTCAGTCTCCCAAAATCCCAGGATTACAGGTGTGAGTCACCATGCCCAGCCCCCTTTTAAAACTTTGTATCTGAGGTTCAGAAATCCCATCAGGAGCATCTGTGAGTGTGCTTCCCATATCTTTCTTCCTCCCATGATATTCCTTGTATGTATGCCTCTTTGATCACAAGACTCAAATTTCTCTTAAATTCAATGATATTTTCTTCAACTATTTACTGATTTCTGCTTTTTGTCCTTTCCTTCTGGTGAAAACTGGATCTTGGGTCTCCTGATCACTCAATTCTCTGGTATCTCCTGCTCCACCTCTTTTGTCATCTGACAAACAATAGGTACCGAATAAATGTTTGCTCAAAGAGTGAACTAGGAATAAAGGATGTTAGATGAAAATACTATGTCTCAAAACTGTTCAAAATTTATATTAAAACTACTTCAAAAGGTTATTAGAGATATTATAAGCAGGAGCGAGACAGTCACTCAACAGAGATTTTGTTAGAAATCATCAGTCATCCTCAAGACTAACCCCAAATACTAGAAAATCCACTTTCACTATTGTGGGTCATTAAGAAGCATATTTCTTTCTTTCTTTTTTTTGAGATGGAATCTCAGGCTCTTGCCCTGGCTGTAGTGCAGTGGTGCTATCTCGGTTCACTGCAACCTCCACCTCCCTGGTTCAAGTGATTCTCTTGCCTCAGCCTCCCGAGTAGCTGGGACTACAGGTGCGCACCACCACGCCCAGCTAATTTTTGTATTTTTAGTAGAGATGGGGTTTCACCATGTTGGCCAGGATGTTCCTGATCTCTTGACCTCGTGATCCACCCACCTTGGCCTCCCAAAGTGCTAGGATTACAGGCGTGAGCCACTATGCCCTGCCTAAGGAGCATATTTCTACATAAAGAAATACATATGTAATAGGTAAAAATCAGATGCAGAAAAAAACATTTCCTCAACATCTCAGCAGCCACAATTCATCTGAGACTTACTCCTCATAGTACTAGTTAAAGTTGTATGGCTGACCGTTCACTGACCTCATCAACAATGACACAGCTGAAGGGGACACCCCCTTGCCCACGAAAAGCAGATTCAAGTAGTAAACCACCACTTGTGCTCAATGTGCAGCAGATGACATGGGACTCTAAGATGATGTTATTCTGTGTTTTCTGTGGGCGTCCTTGAACCTAAGAGAACAAAGGTGAAATCAACAGTCAGCGGTAGATCAATTCTTGACTATGACAGGCCTATTTTTCTATACAACACTTACCATTTATTGTGTGACAGAGAAATATTTATTAAAAGTTAGGGGGGAACCCTCAAATCTAGAAAACAAACAAGATAATCACAAACAGGAAAGAATGTGTGCTTTGCAGTTAAAGCATAGAATATTATTTAAGCACATTAAAAATTTTTATCCAGAGTTTGATTTGGTCAAAGTAGATTTCAATCCTTCCTGTAGCCAGATGTATGTAGGCAGGTATCCGAAGCAGAGATGTAACAATACTGAGTTGTGAATTATCTGAGTAAAACTAGGGTTAGAATTAAGCTTGAATATACATTTTTCTGTTAGTTTTTAAGTATATAATATTGCTCTTTCCTTTTTTTAGTACTTTTGCTAAACTAACAAAAATGCCTATGAACCTGGCAAATATTCTATTTCCACAGTAAGAAAAACAAGTTTGGTCTTCTACAGTGCAATGTACTGTGATGGAACCAGATAATGTGAATGATGCCTCACAATGCATACCATATAGTGCTCAAATAAATCAGCATTTTCATTTTTTTTTTTCCAGATGGACTTTTGCTGTTTCACCCATGCTGGAGTACAGTGGTGCAATCTTGGCTCGCTGCAACCTCTGCCTCCTGAGTTCAAGCCATTCTCCTACCTCAGCCACCCATGTAGCTGGGACTATAGGCGTGTGTCACCACGCCTGGCAAATTTTTTGTCTTTTAGTAGAGACGGAGTTTCACCATGTTAGCCAGGATGGTCTCAATCTCCTGACCTCATGATCCACCCGCCACAGCCTCCCAAAGTGCTGGGATTACAGGTGTGAGACACTGTGCCCAGCCTAAATCAGCATTTTCCTCAGCGATTCAGTAAGCTTCTTTATGCTACTAAGAGGCAATAATGATTCATCTCTGCATATATGATATATTCAACCATAGAGTTCCAGGCACGTGTGGGAGCTTTAGGAAGAGGGTGGCACTGTGGCCCTCCATGGCTCACACAGTAAAGCATTGTCAGACACCTCTCCTTAGCCATCTAGTGAGTAAAACTGCTGAGCACATTCAGAGAAAACTGTATTTGCAAAATAAAAATAAACAAAAAAAACCTGCTGAGCACAATTAGTTCAATGGCCCACAGAACACATGTGATGATGAGCAGCAAAAAAGATCTGTGAACATGGACTTCATCCTTGACTCAGGAAAGATTAACTTGAGGTTTAGTTTAAAACTTTAATCAAAAGTTTTCACATAACTTTTAGTTTAAGTAAACTGCTAATGAAAATAAGCATTAAGTTCAACTGTATTTAGTCACATAGAGAAAAATTATAATACATGCAGGAGAAAAACTTCAACAGAGGTACTACTGTCATCAGTTACTATTACCCTCCTTCCCTGACCCCAATGTGGTTTGATTAGGGCTACATTCTGACAGTCAGGCTATACACCTGGCTCAGCCAAGCTTCAATTAGTCTAAATCTTACCTGATATTTTTACACCCCAAAAATACTGGGAAAAAGCTACAAAAATATTACAGGAGTCTTACGATCTAAGACAAGTACAGAGAGTTTATGCTCCAAGTCAAGAAATGCAAAAACCAAAAATCAAAGTGCTGTACTTTCTTATGCCAATCCTGCCCACCATCACTCTACTTGTATCCAGGTTGCAGCACTGGAGGGCTCACAGTCGCCAACCTCAACCTAAAGCTCACACAGGTGACTTTTCTTTTTTTAACAGGGAAAACACCACAAAGTTATTTTCATTAACTGTTATGGGATGATAATTATCATAATTGTTTTTTGCAGTGAGGGAGGAAGACATAGAGCACCTTATAAGAAGGATTTAAATCTTTACCGAAACCTAAAACAGAAAAAAGATAATTTATAATCACCTCTTTCTTAGAAATCTTAGATGGTGGTTAAGAATTCATTATTAGGTTAAAGAAAAAAATGCGAATGTTGTTACACCAGTTTCTCCACTTCCACAGATGTCTGTAATTTTTCTGTAACTGAGAAAATCCCATAGCTGGCCAGGCACGGTGGCTCACGCCTATAAAGCTAACACTTGGGAGGCGGAGATGGGCAGATAACTTGAGGTCGGAAGTTCCAGACCATCCTGGCCAACATGGTGAAACTCCGTTTTTATTAAAAATACAAAAAAAGATAGGGCGCAGTGGCTCATGCCTGTAATCCCAGCACTTTGGGAGGTGGAGGCAGGCAGATTATCTGAGGTCAGGAGTTTGATACCAGCCTGACCAACATGGAGAAACCCCGTCTCTACTAAAAATACAAAATTAGCCGGGTGTGGTGGTGCACGTCTGTAATCTCGGCTACAAGGGATGCTGAGACAGGACAATCGCATGAAACCACAATCACTTGAACCTGGGAGGCAGAGGATGCAGTGAGCCAAGATGGCACCATTGCACTCCAGCCTGGCAACAGAGCAAGACTCTGTCTCAAAAACACACACACAAAAAAACAAAAATGAGCCAGGTGTGTTGGTGCACGCCTGCAATCCCAGCTACATGGGAGGGTGAGGTTGCAGTGAGCCGAGATCATGCCACTGCACCCCAGTCTGGGCGACAGAGAGAGACTCCGTCTCCAAAACAAAAAATACATAAAAGCTCATGGCTTATCTGAACAGTCACTCTGACAGTTTAGTTTTATATTTAAATTTCTAAAATAAAATAAAATAAAGAAAATGCTACGTGTGAACTACTTACCTCTTTAATTTTAGAAGCAAGTTCCTGCCTTTCCTTAGAAACTTCGGAAATTTTTTCATCTAATTCTTGCCTCTGGAAAAAAATTCAAATGTCATAATTAAAATTAAACTACGCATTTTTAAATGCCTTCCAATGGACTGCCTCTAATCTTAAAAAAGCCTATATTTTCCCAATGAAAAATGTATTTACCCAGCTTATTTCCTCTTCACAAGTACTGACACACTCTGCATGCTGCTGTGGAAGACTCAGCTGTGTCCTGTGCACTGCACGTGTGCTGTCTTAGCTGGACCAGCCCTGAGAGCATCACTCTGCCCTTTACCTTCCAGGTGATTCAAATGAGGCTGTTTAATCGCACCCTAACCATTCCTCTGGTCACAGTGATGGGCATCTGATACAGGCCTGGCCAATCATGACACCCATCTTCTTAAAATTAGGGATTACACCCTGCTTGCTCCCCCAGGGACTAAACTAACTCCTTCTTTGGATACATGGATGCTAAGAGAAAGACCGAGTCTCTCCCTGTGGGGTTTCTAAGCTGGGATGGTAGAAACCCTGAGATGCTGACACTCACCTTCTCCCGGAGAAGAAATGGCTGGCACACAGAAAAACAAACCATGGAATGGAAAAATGATACTGTTTGATCCTCTAGATCTACCCATACTGAAGCTAATTCCCTTTTTGTCTAACCTAATTTGAACTGGGTTTCTTTAACTTGGAACTGAAAGATAATTAGTAAACTGAATATACCTTTAATACAAGGCAGTACAGCCTATAAGCCAAATGCAAGGCCAGGAGCAGGGACTCACACCTATAATCCCAGCACTTTGGGAGGCTAAGGTGAGAGGACTGCTTGAGGCAAGAAGTTCAGACTACCCTGGGCAACATGGCAAGATCCAGTTTCTACAGAAAACAAAAAAATTAGCCAGGCATGATGGCACCTGTCCCACTCAAGAGGCTGAGGCAGGAAGAGAGCTCGTTTAAGCCCAAGAGCTTGAGGTTACATTGAACCACAATTGTACCACTGCACCTGGGCCACAAAGTGAGACCTATCCCGAAAACAAACAAAAATGCAACATACCATTTGTTTTTGTAAATAATGTTTTACTAGAACACAGCCACATCCACTTGTTTATATATCGTTTATGGCTGCCTTGTGCTACCAAAAGCAGAGCTGAAGAGCTGCAACAGAGGACGACCACACAGCTCGCAAAACCGAAAATCTTTACTAGACCATCTTGCCCTTTGCAAAAAAGGTTTTTAAAAAATTTAAAAAAATAAATTTTAATGAAAGAAAAAATGAAAAAAAAAAAAAATTAAAGCCAAGAGGACAAAAAATAAAAGGCAAAAAGAAATATGTTAACCTGAGACACATTTTTAGTGTCTTAGTACACAATTTTATACATGAATCATGCCATTCCCCAATAAATAAAGGGTATTAAATTCTCATTAATCAGGTTGGCCGCAGTGGCTCACATCTGTAATCCTGGCACTTTGGATGCCAAGTTGGGCAGATCAACTTGAGGCCAGGAGTTTAAGACTAGCCTGGCCAACATGGTGAAACCCCACCTCCACTAAAAATACAAAAAATTAGCTGGTGTGGTGGCACGTCCTAGTAATCCCAGCTACTCGGGAGGTTAAGGCAGGAAAATTGCTTGAACCCAGGGAGTTGAGGCTACAGTGAGCCAGAATCATGCTACTGCACTCCAGCATGGGAGACAGAGCAAGACTCTGTCTCCAAAAAAAAACCAAACCAAACAAAAACCAAAATTGTTAACTAGTTTGTTTACCTGAGTTATTATTTAAGAAATGCAAAGATACCTGTATTTCCCGTCCACCTCGGCAGAGAGCTCGCTGCCGGGAAAGTTCATCCAACTGATAATCTAGAAATTCCTTTCTTCTATGCATCTCCTGAACATGAGAAGGTAAGTCTTTTTCTAATAAAAATAACAAATAAAAAATTATATTCTATTCTAATTCTAACCAACACACACATACAGCACAATGAGAAGAAAAACTCAGTTGCCAAAGCCAGACTAATTCTCAAGTCTTCAAATTACCTTTAGTGTCCAAGTCATTTTCCACCAAACAAAACAGAGGAAACACTAGTATAGACCACATTCAGTACTTACTCATTCTGTGGTTTACTTGGCTGTCCAAACTGAACTTTAGAACCTCGTTATTAATAGACTTTTCTGGACCCAGTCGTACTAAATTGATATCTCCACAGTTTCCTGTTGATAAGAATCACATTTAAGGACTAATAAGGACACTGTGGATAAAGCCTGTCTCTATACATAGTATCTATTTCTAAGTAAATATATTAATAATCAGAGAAGGGAGCTAATATGAACTTCCAATTAACTAGATACCAGGGACTACACCACAAACTTCTCATACATTATTTCAGATATTCTTCCTAACAACCCTATAAGGCAAGTACTTATCACTTCTACCTAATAAAAGGCCATCCCAGCACTTTAGGAGGGCCAGGCAGGCGACCACCTGAGGTCAGGAGTTCGAGACCAGCCTACCAATATGGTGAAATACCGTCTCTACTAAAAATACAAAAATTACCTGGGCATGGTAGCATGCACCACCATACAATATACTGCTATGTTTTGAGAGCAAATGAATTTTACGTGTAGGGAATACATATGTAATATATGGAAAAATGTGTGTGATCCCTCAGAATAAAGATGACATGTTCCAGCCTATCTTATACCTTGGTGTGGCCAAAAGAAAATAAGCAGAGGTGCTATTGGCAGGACCTAGAAACTTTCCTTATAACATGGCTAGTATGTTCCCTCTGCCCCTTCTTCATCTTTTCCTCATGCTTGCTGGAGCTGGAGCAGCCATCCTAACCACAGGTGCACTAAAGCATGCAGGCCCCACATGGTGGAGCAACCAGACGGAGCCTGGGTCTCCAAGGACTCTCTAAGGCAGAGTCGTCATACCAGTGACTCTGGTACCAGTCCTGAACTGCCCACCTCTGGGCTCTTGAACAAAAAAAGAGAAGTAAACTTCTATTACATTTAAGCCACTGTATTTGGAGTCTGATAAATCAAATCTTGTTAAAAGGTATCCTTAAGGAAAATTAAATTTGGTAAGAAGATGAGACATATGAGCTTGGCAAAGTAGTCAAATACAAAGCTATAACTATACTACTCAATACGAGTGATATGAAGAGCAAGTGTTAAGGCTAAATAAAATGAAATAATTTCACATCTTCACTTTAGTGCCTTCAATCATCTGTTGTAATGCTCTTCATTATTATGTAAATTCTACTGAAAAAAGTTATCCCTCTGGTATATTTAACATTTCTAAGCTTCAGTTTCCCCACCTATAAAATGCAAATAGTAGGGTTAACACGAAGTTCATGGCATTATTTTGAGAATTACTGACACATAATAAATACTAAGTAATTGTAAACAATCATTATTTTTACCGTTTCAATAAACCTGTGCTTACTCGAACCCTCGTCTTTCACCACCACCTAATACTCTAGGAACCTCATGAACCATCTAAGGTTCTCTTGCCCTGATTCTTCTTCTTTTTTTTTAATGGCAATCTCTGCTTAAGTATGCCCTATCCCTCTACTGGCTGTGGCTAACTCCTAACTGCTTCTTCCTAACCCTCACACAACTGAATCAGAGTCCCTCTGAGGCATCTGAAACACCCCACATTTTAGCCCCACTATGGAACTTATCACTCTGTACTGACCTGTCAACATCCTCACTAGGCTGTGTGTCTCCTTGAAGGCTTCACTGTTGAAACCTCAGTACCTGGCACAGGGTAAATGTTCAATGAAATACTTGCTAAATGAATTCACAATCCACAGATTCAAGTAGAAGCTATTACCAGGACTGGCTTGCTCTTTCCTTTGTCATTCAAAACTGCCCACACTTAACATTGAAAACAAAAACAAATTAAAAATCCACAAAAGTATCATACCTAAAGGATTCTTCTTGTCTTTACATTTTTCTTTGAATTCAAGAATAATTTTTTTCATGAGTTCATCAACAGCCGCGTTGGAAGGTGCACACACGAGGACACGGTTTTGTTTGATTTTGGCATTGGAATTTTCATCTGAATGCCCCTTCCTCTGGTTCTACAATTTGCCACATACACATAACAAACACACACACAAAAAATATGGGTGAGCTCTGTTACATAGCTTTACAGTTTGGCTTTACTTCCATGTATTTTTGAAAGTTCTCATAAAGTTAAAAATAAATAAAAGCATCTACATCTTACACTGATATTAAAATTACTCCAGCATAAAATTCTGTCATAACTGCTCTGAGCTTTACTTTATCATTCACTTAATTTAATCAATACTCAATCCAGGCCAGGCACAGTGGCTCACACCTGTAATCCTAGCACTTAGGGAGGCCAAGACAGGTGGATCACCTGAGGTCAGGAGTTCAAGACCAGCATGGCCAACATGGCGAAACCCTGTCTCTACTAAAAACACAAAAATTAGCTGTGAGTGATGGTGTACAGCTGTAATCCCAGCTACTCGGGAGGCAGAGCCAGGAGAATTGCTTGAACCTGGGAGGCGCACGTTGCAGTGAGCCGAGATTGTGCCACTGCACTCCAGCCTGGGTGACAGCGAGACTCCTGTCTCAAAAAAAAACCCCACAATCCAACCAAATTGTAGCCCAGCATTCACAGCAGTAGATGTGACCTATAATGAAGCCTGACGACGATCAGTCTAGTCTTTACAATTTGTTTTACATAAGATATAGTCTTCTTCCTCTGTTTATCATAACCTTTCCTCCCTCTGCCACCCCTTTCTCTGACACAGTTACACATAACATAAAAAATATGCACAAAGTGAAGAGGAAAAGGCATGTTAATACTTATATACATGTCAGTTAACTCGAGTAAAGTAAAATGATGCATCTAGTTAACAGCATCAGTGCCTTCACCCATACCAACCTCTGTCAGTAGGCGATAAAGGAGGCCAACAATTGTTTTTGATTTTCCTGTTCCAGGTGGTCCATGAATCAGGCAGATTTTGGCAACTGATGGTGAGTGTTTCACCATAGCATATGCAGTTTCTATTGCTTTCTTTTGGTCTTCATTGAAATCTCTTAAGTAGGAAATCTATATAAAAAACACATTTATATAGATTGAAAGTGGAATATGAAAGGAGGACCATGAAAAAGACCTGTTCAAATTTCTTTTAATGTGTCAAAGCTTTGGTTATGGTCAGGCAAGACACAGACACCAAATTGACCTTTAACCTAAAAAAACACATTCACTACGGGAAAGAAAGCTAATTACTTACTAATTACTAATAGTGTCTGAGGCTTCAAGTACTTACAAATACCACAACTGCATTTTTATTTCTTATTCTTATAATCACAACAAACTGCATTCACTAATTTATAACATTTCTTCTATTTACTGTTTTATTCCTTCTTTAGTTAATTTTCTCCTTAGTGAAAACATTCCAAGACTATTTATTTCCTAACACAATGTGTTACAGTGGAAAAAGCATGAATTTCAGGGTCAGATCTGGGTCTAAGCTTCACTTTCACTTACAAGCTAGGTCACTACACTCCTAACCTAAGCCTTGGACTCTGTTACTCATTAAATCTAGGATTTCTTAAAAGATGAGGACACACTGAGATAATGCACATGAAAGCCACAGTATACAAATAATATTAGTTTCCTTTTGCATTTCTGTGTTAATTTCCTAGAGGGTATACACAGCTTCACATGTTCAGATGACAACTTCATCCTTGCATTTCCAACAATAACAGCCAATTCTCCATCAATCATTCAAATGTAAATTTTTAACACCACTAAACCTGAGACTTCTCACCTAA